AAAATTTCTGAAAAAGCTGAAACTTGTCGAGTTGTTAAGCAAAAAGTRTTACATAAAATGCCAGCTAAAAAGGTAAACGTTACCAAAGGCAGAACAGTAGCTAAAAGCATAAAAATGTAGAGCATGTATGCTGAATCAGATTCCAAAGAGAGCAAGATAATTAAAAGAACCAAAGTATTCTAAGTAAACAAAGTTTTTGTGAGGAACRTTTTGTAAATAAGGTTAAGTATTAAAAATTATGAAAACCAAAAGTCAGAGAACTGAATGAGCAGCTAAAACTTTACAAAACATGCAGAAGTCGATTGCAAAAAACCTTGCAGAAAGATTAAAAACAGAAGGACAGTAGTGTGAATGTTGAGCATTCACACAATTAGACCTAAAATGTTACCTTAGAGAAGATTTTTAAGAGGTAAATCCAGTCTTAGTTATAATGTCAAGAATTGATTGGTTCGATTTGCTTTAAATAACTTGGCATAAAAAATCTAACTAAAACCACACAGTGCAGGTGTACATGTGTTGTTTGTTGACTCATTCAAAATACAAAATGTGTTCTATTACATAAAAAGTAATAAACAGGCTTATATCTGTCATTTGTGCCTATTCTGATGACTATTCTTTAAATAAATGTTTATTCTTTAATTTCCTTGGATGAATATCCCCAAGGGGTCAATAAAGTTATTTTGAACCTCTAGTCTAATATGTGACCCATCACATCGAAACGAGGATTAAGTCCAAAAGTGCAACGTGGATTAATGGGCAGATTTAGGGTTTTGATTTAAACATGCAAAAACTGCATTTTGTCAAAATATAATGAATTAATGCCTTATCAATATATCATTTGAATGAACTTTCGGAAATATAATCCTAAAAAAAGTTTTGAAGCATTTTTTTTGAGCAGTAGCAACAAAAATAAAACTGATTTTGAGGAAAAACGACTTAAAATTTAAAATTTTTCCCTGTGAGCAATGCTTTTGTTTCTTTCCAACTGGGAACTCTTAATATACAAATACTATTTGAGGTTTCTTCTTTATACTGACATAAAAAATGACTCAATGAATTTACATAAAATAAGAATTCAGACCAAACAGTATTGTATTATCGTAACCAACAAGACAAATTAAGTCATATTTCTGGATTAAACTAATGATCCAGGTATCAAAATGTAGCTTTAAAAGCCAGGAATCTGAAAATGTAATATAATTTGACTTAATCCTCATTTCGATGTGATGGGTCACATATATTCTGATGAGATTTGCTGTAAATCCTAAATGTGTGAGATTACAAATAGTAAAAAATAATTTTAGTGTATAGTGTTCAACATAATACAACACGTATATGTATTAGTGTTTTCTAGCTTTGAGCTATGCTGTGATTAACCTATTTTAATTTTGCAATTTAATCTCACTTCAGTGATGTTCTAATCCCCATGGATCTTCCTCATTGACACACACTATCAAACTACAACGTAATCTTTGCAACAGATACACATGCTGCTTGGACACAAAATGACAACAAAACATCATTTAATAAAACAAAATGTTCAGGACACTGGTTTGCACAAAGTGACTGCAGAGGGTTAGGACAAAAACTACCGAGTCAKAAAAGAACACACAAAATGTTCTTTGTGTGTAAACTTACACAGAGGGATAATGAAGCGCTTGCACCCATTCTCAGCTCAGCGGACAGGGACAGCTCTCCACTTTTGACTTGTCGGAGTTTTCCCTTCTGGACATAACGCTCCACTGACTGAAACTTTGCTAAAACGCGTCATATTGCAATTAATAGCTAATGCCATCGTCCTCACATCCCAACGGTATGGTTAAAAGCAAGTTAAAAAAAAGAAAAGAACAACTTTTAAGGTATCGTAATTAGCTTACTCCTCCAATGCTTCCCTAGAAAATGTGTTTATGTTACTAGCCACGTGACATGTAACCATGACGGCTGGTGGGTTACCAGGAGAAGTCGAACAGGGTATGGCAAGTCAATTTATCATATAATAGTTAAATAGGATCTGCAAAGAGGACTTTCGAGTGGATATCCATTATAATTTCATTCTTTTATTTCAGTTGGTCAGAATGCTATATTTTACAGTGATGGGCACAGTTCCCCTAAAGCACTAATAGGGCAACTAATTTTCTGATTAGTGCTTTAGGGCTTTTGCTAATTTTAAAATTTATTAGTGGATTAGCACTTGCTAAATTTATAGGCTAAATTTAAAAGCACTAACTGAGGTCTTTAAATGTTATTTATCAACGTTAACGTTAGCTGATAGTGAAAGCTGTTGCACATTTTGTTTGAATTAGCTTTTGCTAAATTTTCAGTGCATTAGTGCTTTACAATTAGGGGACCTAAATATTTGAGTTAGTGCTTTAAGGGCTAGTGGAACAAAGTTTTAGATTAGTGCTACCCACTACTACTTGCAATACTCTAATCATCATTTTGCATGACTCAAATTATTATTATTTTCTCATTCAGGCTTTCAATTATCAATATAACTTGAATGAATAAATAATTAGACATTTTTTTTATTTGGTGACATCAAAATAACAAAACAAATAAAAAGTAATGGAAAAGCTTATAGGACCAAAAGGGAAGAGCTAGAAGCCTATGGTTTATTGTGCCTCACCTTACTATTCCTTATGGATTTCCAAAACAAAAATGCACTAACACAAAACTACACATAAACAAACAAACAAAAAAAGAAACCACAAGCTAGTTTCTCCTATCTAAAATTCAGGGAATCTGAAAAACAAATTTTTACTATAGATGAAATCAGTGTTGTATAAAGTATCACAAAGTGATACTTGAGTAAAAGTACAAGTATCTTACCAAAAAGTTATTTTGATAAAAGTTAGTCTCATTTAGAAACATTACTTGAGTAAAAGTATCTGATATTTTTTGTACTTAAGTATTACAAGTAAAAGTATTGAATTAAAATGAGCAGTTAGATTTTCTGTAATAACATTTATTAGGAGGTACCCCCCCCCACAAAAAAAAAAGGCAGAAATGACTGTCATATTAAAATTATTAATTTATGTTCAATTTATGATTCAGTCTAGCTGTTTCAGTTTATCAAGGGAGCCCAAACCTTTTCCACAAAATGAAAATCTATCTGAGGGCTGTGGCCAAATGCAATAATATAATTCTTGAAATACAAAAACTTCTTAAGTACAGTACGGTACTTATATTTTTAATGAATAAGTTGGCAGCTAGTTTGGTGGCCCACATTTTTTAATAACTGCAATACAGCATCTAGTCATTGGACCAATGAATGGGATGACTTTAGTTGGAAATACTGTGTTTCTACACAAGAAGCTGGAATGAAAAGCAGCAAAAATTAAAGTAAGAAATTTCTACTTCTTGCCCTTTTTTAATGTAAGGAGTAGAAAGTACAGATAATCGTGTGAAAATCTAAGAAGTAGAAGTAAAAAGTAGGCTGAAAAATAATTACTCAAGTAAAGTACAGATACCTCAAAATTCTACTTCAGTACAGTAACAAAGTATTTGTACCGAAGTTACTTTACAACTCTGGCTGAAATGTTGATTGCAGATAGGGAACCAGGTATCATTTAGATTAAAAATCTTTTTTTTTCAAGAGGGACCTGGCCAAGAATGGCAGCAGCATACAGACATTACAAAATTCAAAACTACAGATATAATATCTCATAATATATTTATATATATAAATCTGTACATCCAGAAAATTACTTTGTTTGCTATGACATGTTAAAATGGCCAGTTATACATTTCGATTTCTTTTACATAATGTATTTTTTCTTTAAAAAAAATCTGTTGTGAAGCCTTGAGTATGTTAATAGAAATGTTATTTTCATTATCTGTAATTTAATTTCTGAGTAGTACAAATGTTGAAATGTAGAAATTCAGTTGTTGAAGTATAGAGGGAATTTTTGAATGTGTACTGGACTGCCAAAGTTTACAAAGACCTAGTTGAAACTATCAACAGATATTTTAATAGATTTTAATGGTTGAACGGTTTTGAATTGAAACCAGAAAGAAATGGCTCATCCACAACAAGACAGATATTTTTACTAAAAGAGAAACTTAAGCAGAAAATATATGTGACAAATGTATGTTGACAAAGATGAATTGCAGGAAGTGTTTACCAGTATCAAAAAGTTTAGGAATTCAAAGCAAATGTATTAGAAATTGTCCCAAATATATTTATTGACGCATTTTAAATAAAACAATTAAAAGTACATAAATACTACGATACTGAAATAAAAAAGTAGCTAAAACAGTCTCATTTCTACAGTATCAAATTTGAACCTTGTAAAGAAAATGATAACAAAATAATTTTGTCTGATTTCAATATTGAATCTATTAATAGTCAGTTACAAGCAGAYCTTCAGACATTTCATGGTTGGCTTCAAGATAATCTTTTGTCAATTAATGTTAAAAAACTGTGTGCATGTATTTTTCCTCACCCAGGAGACATTTCAATATAACAAAWCAAMTCACTTTTTTAAACAAACCCCTTGATATTGTCACCACCTACAAATATCTTGGAATTACTTTGGATTCTCATTTGACTTATCGTGATCATGTACAAGTATTAACCACTAAGTTGAAACTTAAATTATATGTTTATTCAAAAATTAGATCCAATCTGACATCTTGTTTCAAATATCTATCTTCATGCCATTATACTCTCAACCATGTCGTACTGTTTACCTGTTTGGTCTCTTACAACAAATGAAATCTTAGAACCCATAGTTAGGCTSTACAACAGGGCCTACAAAATTCATAAAAAAGCTTCCTGGTTGGACTCATCGCTGTACAGTTCTTTCATTGTCTGATGCCTTGACTTTTCAGAATTATGTTTTGTATAGTGGTATTAATTTATATTTTCAGATCTTCCAAGGTGCCAATTATGGAACTCTCTGTGCATTGCTGCCCAAATCAAATTCTGGAAGTGGTCATTCAACTAGATCTGTTACAAAAGAACAACTGACATTACCAACTTTTAAAAACTGTTACGGCCAGAGGTCTKTCTTCTATGTTTATACTAAAGCATGGAATGACATTCCACAAAACATAAAGTCCATTTCAAAACTACAGCCCTTTAAGAAGAATCTTGTCTGCCATCTGCTGGACTTTTTGTTGTGCTCATATTTAGACGTCCTATTTTGCAAATGTTGCCTTTTTGAAATTTGGTATGCTTGTTTGTCTTTGTGTCTATGGTGCAATAATAATGATGTGATTGTGATGCTGTAATTCTGAGTTTTTTATGTGCTGCAGAACAGGAACCTGTTGTAAATCAGCAATTATGCTGAGTCAGGCTTGATTTTTAATAGTCTTTTCCTGTTAAATAAATAAATCAAATCAAATCAAATCAAAATAAAATGCAAACAATAATGTCTCAGATTTACACTCACACCTGAAACTGGAGCTATCAAAGGCATTTGTAGTGGTCTTTTCAACACTCACAGGATTCTAAAAGCCTGAGGAAATGTTACAACAGCAATTTCAGGAATTATAAACGTAAACACAACATTTCAACACCTCTATGCCAAGTTTTGTGCGTATAAAAGTTACTAGTACATAGGGCTTTACAAACTGGGACTAATATAAAAGCTTACTAAACTCACATACACAAACCTGTAGATATCTTGTGGACATGCATGTGCAGACACATACAAAAATCACACTTACAAACACAAACATACAGAATATAAGGAAAAAAGGACCAGCTAGGACAAACTGAATGGCAGCAAGGTTATGACAATCATGCTGCGAAGTGACTCAACATACTTGAAATGCTGTAAAATCATCTCAGTGGCTTTACACGTTTTCCTTTAATCACCACAACTTAACATCCGTCTGATCCAGAAACTGGAGGTTGAAAAAAACTCAACCAGTTAAAAATGAAAAAATCAACTTATTTGGTAATCTAAATGCACGTAAAAACAAGGCTTTTGTCTTGATTCAACAGGCAAAATGTGATGACAGGCATTGACTGTTATTGATACTTTGGTAACATAGTGGCAAATGTGAAAGTTTGAGATACCAAATAAAAACTCAAATTTTAGTGTTCATGACCATCAAAATAAGTTCTATTCTTCATTTAATACAATAACCTATTGCAGTAAAAAAGTACTTTAGGTGCAGATGTTATTGCATCATCAGTTGACAGTTTTCATGATTTTCCTTCAATAATAGGTGGAACCATTTCACGTTTTCTGAGCTACAATTATATATAGACAAAAAAACAGTCTCTACATAAACACTGGAACTTGGGATTCTAACATTGTTCAGTTAACCTCATAAAATGAGGTAATAAAGAGAAGAAAAAAATTCAGCTTCAGAGTCAGAACTTTAAATCTGTAGATTGAACCTGAGAAATGCAGGCGCAGAACAGAGGAAAGGCCTGTATTTCAAAAAAATATGGCAGCAGAAATAAAGAAGATGCACCCATCACAGTCAGAGAAAACAAAAATTCTCCAAGAGGTGATTTGGGCATCGTTCAGGGACAGTCAGTGAGCAGCAGGTGATAGATCTGAGCGATGGAGAAAGGTGCTCATACTCAGGCCACAGAGGCAACTTTGTCACWGTTGCTGGTATACTTAATGTCAGATTTGTCTATCTCAGCGTCCTTCTTCCTGTTCCAGCAGGGAAGGCTGAGAAAAGACAAAATGAATGCTCCCAACAGGACACAGAACCCACTGAAGTAGAACGCCAAGTCATATGACTGTGTCCAGTCAAAGAACCACCCTGACAAGTGAAGAGAACAAACATGGTTAGCACAGTCTGTACAACTTCTTGTTGATAAAGCAAAAAGATTTTAAAAAATTACAAGCTGGCTTCTACTGAAACCAATGTTAGTATAACTGCTTCTTTGATGCAATACTAGGATTTACAACTGATTTGGTCATCATTGTTTTATAACTTAAAAAATGTGGGAGGAAAACAAGCCTCTTACCTACAACAGGAGGTCCAAGCATGATCCCAAAACCCCCAAAGAACATGAGGATGCCATGGGCTTGAGTCAGTCTGTCTAAGCCAACGATCTTAGTGGTAATGTACGAAGTGAGAGACCAGTTTCCAGAGAAGAAACCAATGGTGGCCATCAGAATCTGCAGTCCCATGTAACTTTTGGTGATAGGTAAAAGGAGCAATGCAAAACCACCTGCAAACATTGTGAAGGCGTACAAATAGAGGCTGTTGATCCACCTGATGTCTACCAGGACACCCAGAGCTAGTTTGCCTATGCAGGTGGCAATAGCCCCAATTGATACAAGAGGAATGACACTAACTTCTTCAATGAGTCCTTCACTCTGTGCCACATCCTCAATAAAGAGGCATGGTGGAAAAATGCCCAGGCTGAACAAGAAGATAGCAATGCAGAAGGCCACCATGGATTGGTCCTGCAAAATCTCGTACATCAAATTCATGTACTTGGAGTAAGCCTTCTGCTTCTTTTTGATTGCCTTCACAATGACTGACCCAAACTTAGAACCTTCTTTCTTCTCTGTCTGAATAGACAAGTCCTTGGCATCGATAGTGATGAGCAACTCCTTTGCCGAGAGAGCTTTCTCCTGAGTGGCTGTGGTTGTCTCCGTTGTGAGCTTGAGGTCATCCAAGGGTGGCGTCATGAAAAACTGTTCTTCCGTGTTGCGCTCCAAGGCAGCCTTCTGTTTGAGATAGTACCCCGGCATGTCGAGGGGTCTCATGAAACCAGCGCAGGCCATGAGGTTGAGYGCTATGGCTCCGATGATGAGCAAGCAGCCATCCAGTCCGAGCAACAGGATGAGCTCATTCTGAGCAGTGGCGTAGATGAATGCGCCAACGCTTGTTCCTGAATCGGAAAAGAAAACAAAAAAATGAGTTTTTCTAACAAAAATAGAAAAACTRTTATGTTTTAGGCTAAAGTGCAGCTTATCTTTTTATTACAAATGAACACCAAAATTAAAAGTTTAGAAAATGGATCTGTATTTCAGCTGCAACCAACCATCCAAACAAAGAAAACTTTTAACCTATAAAGCTTAAGCCAAATAACCCCTAAGTTACCATAGTGCTWTAATTTTCAGCCAGGCCAGAACTGGTAACAGGTCTTTGGTCTCCATGTCTACCTAACAGACCATTCTGGATTTGCTATGCTTCAGATGTTTACCTTTGCTTCCTAAGGCTCCCAGCAACCCATACATGAAAGAAGTGAGCATGAGGAACAGCTGTGAACCCAGAAATCACAGGGCAGAGGAAGGCAGGAATACCTGTGGTGACAATGCCAAGGGCCAGGCCGCGTCTCTTGTCAAAATACTGACAGGTGATTGTCAAGGTGGCTGCGTAAACGAGACCACAACCCAGGCCTGAGAACAAAACGAAGAATGTTTTCGGTTAGTCCTGGTGAAATGGGTAAAAGTATGAATGCACCAAATGCACTGAAATTGTTATGAATTGGGCAATTTTCAGTTTGACTGGTTTGACTGGGAACGGTAGGAGGTTCTTAAAGAGACAGAGGCCAATTTTCAGGTGTTTAGATAGGCTATGATGCAAAGTCATTTAGTTTTGAGATATACAGCATTTTCATAAAAACTGAAGATAACATAGTTACTTGATTGTGGTGCAGAATTGAACTATATGCCTGGTAAATACCACCCAACCATACCCCCTTTAAAGAAATTTTGGATTTGAGTAGTTGGTTAATTTTAATTTCAATGAGAAAAAAATAGAAACATCTTTTCTTTATGCTGCCATGTTTATATTATTTGGGTGGATTTGGAAAATTGAGGGAGAAAAGTTAAGCAAAATCAAAAAAAAAATTGGAATTGGCTTAGGAAACTACAATTGGTGCATCTTTGGGTAAAATCTTTACATCTTCATTTTACACCATTATAAATGTCAGTTGTTTATACGCATGTGTGTTTGATCCACAAATACTGCATAAAAATATCAGGGCTTTTTTTTGTATGTGTAATCAAGCCAATAAGTACATGTTTACGTTAAAAGGGCAAAGTGCATCAGAGCTTTTTAACACTTAGCAAAGCCAAACAAGCAATATGATGAGCAGTGAACAAGCTAGCTACATRTGCTTTTTCATTTACACTCAGCTACCCTAAGGGCATGTCTAAAAATAAATCACTTTCTTCAAATATGTATATCCCTCCCTCGCCAGTTTTGCCAGCAGGATAGGTAGTGCAAAAGGGGACGGGGTTCACAGGAATTAAGCACGGTTGGACTGACATTAAATATGCAGTAACAGGTGGTGCTGAGTCCGTGCATGACCAGTGGTGAGGGCACAAAGGCAGTAAAAGCCCAAATGGGAATCAGGCTGAGTCATTATGTGTCATTTTTCTTCAAACAGTTAAGGATGCCAAACAAGGGGGACAATGTTAATGGACATGTTGTCTACATGATTTCAGCTTCAGGATACAGTCAACTTCCGATGTTACGTAGCAGTTAGATTTGACTTGTACTCTTGCTTGTTTTGAAGGATTATGCAATAGGGTGCATGATTTACAACTTCCATTAGCAAGTAAAGCATTCACCAATTTGGTCCAAATTCACCCAGAAATTGCAGCATGTCTCCAGACTGCTATTTTTTTCTGTCTATGTTTAGAATGTATTTGCATACAGGATGTTCTTCATTTCTACAATTTAAAGAGTCCTTACCCACAACGATCCCATAGGAAAAGATGAGGAACTGGACATTTGGAGCGAAGGCGCTGAGCATCAGGCCGCCCGCCACCATCACACCACTGAAGATGGTCACGGGACGCGCTCCAAAGTTGTCCACACAGGCACTGCAGATAGGACCTGCGGGAGAAGGCAGAGAGGAAAGGCTAAATTAAAAAAACATGTCAGTGTCACAGACACAAATATATCAAAGTAAGGATTATTCTTTTAAAGACTTTCTAAGAAAAGCAAACTCATCCGGACAAAGAACTGCTGACTGTGCCATCTCACAGACGCTCAGACCTCATAAGGTTTATTGAAGTATGAATAAAAAAAAATTTCACAGTTGAACATCAGCTTCTTTTAATTTGATTGGTTTTAAGGTGAAAAATTAAGTCCTTCCACATCGTTGTGCAGTGAGGCCTAATGACCTAAATGGGCGTAACTGTAAAACTGGTACTTCTCTGACTGCAGCTCATTCCCCTGAGGTCGTTTGACTCGTGCATCTTTACTGAACTTTTATGACCCCGAAGCTGATTTTCTCTCCCTCTCTTTTTTTTTCCATTTTTTTCATGTAGTTTGGGGAGACTCTGCTGTTGTCCAGCAGGAACTGCAGCACTACAGCTGGCTCACAGCTGGGACACGTGTTCAAGGACTACTCCTGGGAAGTGGTAGTTTCCCTGTTCCCATTGGTAGATTTAAACTGGAATGCCCCCTCCAGTGGTAATATTCCAAGTGGAAGAAATGAAACTGCACCCAGTTTCGCTTTCAAGATGGCAGCTACTCGCAGCTTTAGGATGTTAACTCCCTAAMTTTTACTATTAATTATCTTTCTCAATTTTTTTGTTCATGTTTAATCACTTGCACAAGTAAGTGTGTTTTCTGTACAACACTGTACGTGTTAAAATCAATGTTTATTTGCATGACATACCTAGTAGAGCTTTCTTTTTTGTCATTGTTTAWAGGGCTGCAACAACAAATCGTTAAAAATCGATTATTAAAAGCATTGGCAACAAATTTCATTATCAATTCGTTGTGTTGCGCGAGTTATGTGTCCCTCGCCGTGTCGCGGAGCCGTTTACGTCACCCGCAGAGCGTTGTGAATGCTGGCTGACCTAAATAAAGTTTAGGAAGAAAAAAAAACATCTAACTGTAAAGATCTGCCCTCTCTGACTCTTGAATGAAAAGTAGAGACTTTGAACTTTAAACCAGTTTTTAAATTGTGATGTTAGGCCAAGTAGATCCTAAGTTATGATGATAAGTATATGACACATTAAATTTTTTAAAAACCTCCAGTTTTTTTTTTTTTTCTGACTGAGACTCAAAGTTATTTGTTGAGCAGCAAAAAGGTTCAGGGAGAAGGAATAAAAAAAAACACGATTGAGGAGCAGGTCAGTAGGGGAGAGGGGGGGAGGAGGAGGAGGAGGAGGAG